ATGGTAATAGTTACAAAACCGTACTCATTTTAAATGACGCTATCACCACATGCAAAAGAAGTTCTTGAAATATCCCTCACCCCATCAAGGTTACTAGCGCCCTTTCCCTATTTAACACCACCATTCACCCATAACATTAAGGACACTTCCTGTCGTCATGGTTCACAAATTCAGTAAGAGTGTGAACACGGTTGTACGCTGTAAGGCGCGCTCTCTACCATAAGCCTATCTATAGTTTGTAACATTGCAATTTGTCGGGGGCGGCACACGCAACGCGGCTGAGCTCGCCCGCGGCTGCCTTCGTCTACCAATGGCGGTGGGTTAGTATCGATTCAGGATGAAAACAACCAATGGTTTTAATGTCGCAGGTGGCGACCGCTGAATGCGACCCGACAGATTGCGATGATATCAACTATACACTGTAACTTGATAGCCAAGTCGTGATTGCGTCACATACTTTCTTTTGCACCGGACAACTCGTCCAGATCGCTCAATTCTTGCATCATGCCGATTGCTGGAAGACGTTAAGGCGGACGCCGAATTGAAGATGGGCGACCCGTTCAACGAACATCAATAAACAATGTACTGGACCACATTGAGGAGCATTTCTCGTGTAATGTTACTGTGACCAGGAAACATCAAAACTTCACAATGGTGGTGGTACAACCATTTTTGAGTATCTGGTCAGTTTACGGAAGCGTTAAAGAGTGGATGTATCCTGCCTATTAAATAATAATAAAGTTCCTATAGGGTATTGCTTTAGCCGTAACCAAGATGGTATAAAAGTTTTATTGGCTAACGTTTCGGCGCCTTATCGCCTTCGTCAGAGCCTGGAAAAAGTCAAAAATCAAAGTGAAACTACCCTCGGAAATCATTTCAAACCTCAGATAAGCTAGTCCCAGACCAGTAGGATCCAGAAAGTCATAGAACACAACCACAAACGACTCACCTTTAATGCACGACCGGTTCTTGTTAGGGATGAGTACATCGGGTAGAGCTGGACGGAAAAAGACCCTGATGCCCTCCAGAGTGAAGGAACACCTAGATAGGCCCTGAGGGATCAAGAACAAGAGTCCCGCCTGACGGTAGTATTCGGTTTCAGCCGCCATTGGAGGCGGCGGAGTTTGAGGTGACGGTTAGGATTTTGATGCGAGAACCACAGACTTCGGCAAACTTTGGAAGCGTTTTGGATTAGCGCTAAAAATCCCAGAAATGAATAGAAAGACGGATGCTTGACCATTCACAACGGAGCTCGCTTTGCCTTGAGTTGTCCATCGCATCAAGTAGAGCGTCAGGTCAGCTGAACACGGAGTCTAATTTTAGCCGGTGTCTCAAACTAGAAACGGTCGGTAGCATTAAAGTGAGTCGTTTTGTGGTTGTGTCTCTATGCCTCTTCTGGATACCTACTGTCTAGGACTTAGCTATACTGAGTTTGAAATTGATTTCCGAGGGTAGTTTCACTTTGATTTTTGACTTTTTCCAGGCTCTGACGAAGGCGATAAGGCGCCGAAACGTTAGCCAATAAAACTTTTATACCATCTTGGTTACGGCTAAAGCAATACCCTATAGGAATTCAAAGTATGCCAAGATTCATCGAGAGTCGAACCTGGACAATAATAAAGTTAATTAGAACACTCATTCATAATATTAGCTGTCTTCCTATAAAAACACAATTTTCAATACCCAAATAAAATCTGAGCTAATTAGAATTGTGGCGATTCAATAAATGTTTCACGCTTTCGCTTCTCATTTTTCAGCGCTAATGCTCACCGAGTAGAAGACGAATGGCGAAACTACGACGCCGGCCCTGTTCCATAGTTGAAGGAAGGAATAGCCAAGAGTACGGATTGGAGTCGGGAACAGCTCATTGCCAACGATTCCCGACGAGATGTAAATCTGGAATAGTCATGCATGGAATGGAGTCAGTGCAGACAATAATTCAGTAGTCAATTGATAAGTAGTAATTTTTTTGTATAATTATTTTGTATAATTATATGACACAGAGCAGGAGGTGGTCAAAGTGCTATAGAGCCGCGCACTACGTGCGCGTTTTGGGAGACGAATCTTCAATCGACTCTCTTTGGGCTCTCTAAACCTTCTATCTCTCCAGGACCGGTTCATGGGTGGTAATTGGTAGGGTCTGTGAGAGCAACACTTTCGCGCACATTGCTGGTAACGGCTAACCTTTGATTAGGTCAAATCGCAGCCGAAAACCAATGCAATTCTGAATAGAAGTGGAGAATGTGGCGCATCCCAGAAAGACTTGATCGATTCCAGATGTTTTAGAGGCTCTTCTACAGACTTATTGTGCTCAGTATAATTGTTTTTCATGCGAAGAAATAGAAAGTTTAGCTAAAAAGCAACAGTAACGAGTACAAGCAGTGTTACTAGCCAGCGAACTAGTAAGAAGTCAATTATTTGTTATTTATACCTCATCGCGCACTGCTGGATGCGCGTTTTGGAAGTTTAATCCTCGACCAGCTCCCTTTCGTCCATCAGCCTCATCTCTCAGTGCGCCGGTTAATTGGTGGGGATTGGTAGGGTCTTGGGGAACGAAAACGTTGACGTGAACATCGGCTGGCTCCTGCTAACCATTGATCAGGTCAAATCGCATGCAAAAACCATTGCGATTCTGAATGGAAGTGGAAAGCGTGGTGCAACCCAGAAAGAACTATCGAATTTGCATGTTTTGTAAACTCTTTCTTGAACATATTGTGCTCACATCAGTATAACTTGTTTTCATTCGAAGAAATAGAAGTATTTACTTGGCAAAAAAACAATAATGAAAATAGCACCGGACCTGTGACGTCATTGCACTGGCTAGGAGGATGAGAACGCGAATCTCTTGCTTGAGAGCGTGATTGAGGTCTTAAAGGAGGTGGAAGAAGGTTAGCAGCTTCCAGTTTATGCAAGAATTAAAAAACCTACCAAATGAATAGGCAAAAATCACAAGCGCTAAGGAAATGATAATGATCACCAGACCGGAGTTGTGCACGAATTTCCGGCCGATACGTCGCCATTTCAAATCGGCATAACCCAGAGTCAAATTGCATGCATACCTAAACGTTGACAATGCGTCATAGCAGTGGGGACAAGTTTTCGAGACGAGTTTCTTGTTGATGGTGACCCCAAAAGCAACGGTCTTCGTCCAGTTTCTCGTGTTCAGGGAGGGACCTCAGTGATAATGAGTCGAACAAGAATAAACTCTTCAGCTCAATCTGCGCTTCAGCCTTCATGTCGTATATTTCTTTTTTTGTACATGTATTTACTGTACGAGGGCCGTTCAAAGTATGCTCGGTATCGGGGTAATTTAGCAGTAACGAAGGAATTTAAATCATTTCAATAGGTAACGACACTCCCTGAGGGTATAAATACAAAATTTCATTTAGTTATCATCAATGCTATTCTAGTTATCCTTGGTGAAAGAAGACCAGAATGACTGATGCGACAATGTTGAGAAAATGATTACTGATTGAAAAAATGAGAAAAATGAAAAGGAAACTGAGAAAAAGAAAATTGAAAAAATTTTCAGAGAATACTATGTTCGCTAACCTGAGAAAGGTCTTCGCGGAAAGCGTTTTTCTGACGATGAAGAGCTGAAGGCGGCAATTAACGCACATTTTGGGGACAAGGAGGAAAAATATTTTAGAGGGTATTGAAAAGTTAGTTTCCTTGCAAAAAATTCTATGAAGGTATGGGGACTACATTGGAAAATAAATTTTATTGAGAATTTTCTGCCTTTTCCTTCATACCTATACCGAGAATAAGAGAAGGTACATTGAGCACACCCTGAAGGCCTCATTGTCAAAAGACAGTGGAGGATTTGATGCAAGAGCTCTGGAAGTCATAGAAACTGGCTCTGTTTGCTGAATTTTCAGAAATTCTGGTGAGAAGGTCAGGGATAAAGCTCACAAAACTATCGCCTCGGTCAATTGACCTCCTGGATGCAGAGCAGGAGAACATCGGCTCATTTGGGCGCTGGAACGAGACTAACGAGAACTTTTAACGTGGCTTCATATTGATATGGTAAGCGCAACGTTTAATGCGCTGTCAAAAGCCAAAGAATCGGGTGGAGAAGGTGGATATTATCAAGGAAATGGTATTCCTCTTTCTATTCGGAACAGAATTTACCTCATCAAGCCACCGTAGAGTGAATTCAAGTAGATCGATCCACTAAGTTTCTCCATGTTGAATAAAATCCCATAATTGAGGATGGAGGTAGAAAAACTGCAAAGTGAAGGAAAAGTTAAAGTTGCTGACAATGGTAAAGGTTAATGAGTAATGTCTGATAAGTAGACTGAGACCAAATGTGCCGACAGTCCTTCTGGAAAACTAAGGATGGGGCGTAAAATGGATTAAATAGAGCTTTTTTCTATCATAGGACGCCTGAGAATTGATAAGCACTTAGGGCTACGTCTAGACTTGTTTTTCAACAATCCAGACATTTTTGCGTAGCCAAAAAATAGGAGTAAATATACCGGCGCTGATCAGTCCCTTTTTGGAGCATATTCACCAGTGTTCACACTTAAACTTACTCTCATTACGCTGAATCCAGAATCGTAGCGGCTGTTGGCTTTGAGCGCGATTGCCTAGACAATAACTTTGGTGGCTAGCCGATGCTGGATGTTCAACTTTTTATCCTCACAGACGGCCTGATGTCGAGTCAAACTCTGCAGTGGATAGCTGGCGCACTCGAATCCCCTTCCCGAACACGTTGAGCAGGTTGGCCTCGCAAAGTCTTCGTCTTCTTCACTCGTGCACTTCTTCACTCGAAAGGGCGTGGTAAGAGCACGGGGGACTTGTGGCTGAACTCTTGACCACACTTTTTTAGTCTGGCCCCACCCATAATACAGAAATTATAAAAAAAGTTGAAGCTCTCGCCGTTAATGAATCCCTTACTGGGATGTATCATGCTCTCTTCTGCCATTCAGAATAGCAGTGTGAACGCGATGTGGCTCATGTAATGAATTTCTCGGGCTAGTCAGTGTGGTTTTTATCCTCCCAACGCGTCTGGGAGCAATACTTTCCACGGAGG